GATCATGGATAGGGCTTGGGTGGTTTCTGCCAGGAATCTCCAATTTTCCTTCTGTCCTTAATGAGTAATCGGTGGACTGTTCCTCCAAGACTGTGTAAATATGCTATTCCCAAATGACCTTTCACCCTGGGGAGCGAGCACTGAATGACACTCTTGCCTGGATCACCCGACTTCTTGGCACAAAGACTTTTTAATTTCTTCATTCCTTTTTTTTTTTTTTTTTTGAGTTGGAGTCTCTGTCGCCCAGACTGGAGTGCAGTGGCCGCTTCCGGCCACCGCAGCCTCCACCTGCTGGGCTCCAGCTATCCTTCCGCCTCAGCCTTCCAAGTAGCTGGAATTACAGGCATGCGCTGCCATGCCTGGCTGATTTTTTTGATTTATTGTAGAGATGAGGTCTCGCTGCCCAGGCAGGTCTCGAACCCGCGGGCTCAGGCAGTCCACTCACCTCAGCCTCCCAAAGGCACGGGATTACAGGCTGAGCCACCGAGCCTGGCTTCTTCATTCCTTTAACATGAATTAATAAGTTATTCTTTATTAGCAGGTGTTCTTCTGTAAAGAATTCCTCATTTTATTGAATTAATGGATTTCTTTTGACTCACCGAACCACTCAAACTGGCTCCTTTTTTTCAAATGATGTGTCCCCATCCTCCTGTGAGAACGTCCTTATTTTCTGGGACAACCAGATGTTCCAGAATCTTCTCCTCTGCCCCAGACCTGAAGTTAGTTATTGCTGGCAGGAGAGATTTCAGCAGAGACCTGAAAAAACAGAGACAGCAGACCCCGTGGATTTTGGGAGGATGAAAGCTACCTTAAGACATGATGTGAAGATTCAATAAACACAATTTTCTTTCTTTCTTTCTTTCTTTTTTTTTTTGCGTCGGAGTCTCACCCTGTTGCCCAGGTTGGAGTTCAGCGGCATGCTCATGGTCATTGCAGCCTCAACCTGCTGGGCTCAGGTGATCCTTCTGCTTCAGCCTCCAAGTAGTTGGAACTACAGGTGTGTGCCACTACGCCTGGCTAATTTTGTGATTTATTGTAGAGACAAGGTCTTACCAAGTTGCCCAGGGTGGTCTCAAACCTCTGAGCTCAGGCAATCCTCTCACCACGGCCTGCCAAAGTGCTGGGATTACAGGCTTGAGCCACCACACCCAGCCTTACACATACAACTTTCTTACACTTTTCTGGAGTTTCCAAATTGTCATGGACAAACATTACTTCACAGACAGGAAAGAGTTGATTAAAAATGCGAAAATAAGTGTATGTATATAAACGCAAAATAAAACCCTAAGCCTCCCATCGAATGGACCATGTCTTGGTCACGGGGACCCCAGAAAGACCTTAAAACTGAGTTCCTGGCCATGACAGATGGGACGTCAGATCTCATTATATTTCCTCTCTGTCACCCGGGCTGTAGTACATTGGCACGCTCACGGTCATTGCAGCCTCAACCTGCTGGGCTTGGGTGATCCCTCAGTCTCGGCCTTCCAAGGAGCTGGAACCACAGGTGTGTACCACCATGCCCAGTTGTTTTTTTTTATTGTAAAGATGAAGTCTTGTTATGTTGCCCAGGCTGGTCTTGAACCCCTGAGCTCAGGTAATCCTCTCACTTCCGCCTCCCAAAGTGCTGGGATTACAGGCGTGAGCCATGGTGCCCAGCTACCAGCATGAATGTTAAAACAGAGATCACAAGGCCGATGGAACAGACTCTTTGTGGCAATATCAAATTATATACAGGGCCAAGGCTATGCCAGGAAAGGGTTGAGTCTCACACCCTACACTATATTCTAACTGCCCCAAGGTTTCTATTAGCAGCTAAAAACGCAGTGGCCTCGAGATAAGCAGTATTCCAACAATTACAAAGAGCCCAGCTTACACAGACGCTGTTCCACCAGCCAGAACTACTGCTTTGATTGGTCAAGAAATTGATTGCAGTAACTTTCTCCTGTTAAGAGACCACGGGGTTGGGGACAGTGACTCAGCCTGTCATCCCAGCACTTTGGGAGGCTGAGGCAAGAGGATTGCCTGAGCCTGGGGGTTCGAGACCAGCCTGGGCAACTTGTAGACCTCGTCTCTACAGTAAATCAAAAATAAGCTGGGCGTGGTAGTGCACACCTGTAGTTCCGGCTACTTGGAAGGCTGAAGTGGAAGGATCACCTAAGCCCAGCAGGTTGATGCTACGATGGCTGTGAGTGTGCCACTACACTCCAGTCTGGGTGACAGAGTGAGACTCCAACTCAAAAAAAGAAAAAAAAGCTGGGCAAGTTGGACTGGGCTCGGTGACTCTGTCATCCCAGCACTTTGAGAGACTGAGGGGAGTGGATTGCCTGAGCCTGCGGGTTCGAGACCAGCCCAGGTAACTTGGCGAGACGTCATCCCTACAATAAATCAAAAATTAGCTGGTAGCGTGCGCCTGTAGTTCCAGCTACTTGGAAGGCTGAGGCAGATGGATTGCTGGAGCCCAGGAGGTCGACACTGGGGAGGCCGTGAATGTGCCACTGCACCCTAGCCTGAGCAACGAAGTGAGACTCCAACTCAAAAAAAAAAAAAGAAACGGATTGGTAGTGTGCAAACCTGCCAGGGAAGGGGGGGCACACCTCACCAACAAGGGTACCTCCATAATGAATGCTTGTATACCTAACCCTGAATTGTACCCATCTTTAAAATAAAAAAACTTAAAAGTTAAAAAAGTCAAGTCTCCTCTCCTGGAGATTTATAAACGGTGTGTGCAGTGTTTTACGTTAATATGGATGGCAGGGAAGGACGGACCTGAAAGGTACCTCTAGAAACCTAGAAGAAACGTAGCTTATGGTTTAGTCTTTTTGCCTCAGCATAACCATTAGAAAGCATTCAGACATTCTACTGCAGGACAAACAGCAGCCTATCCCATCTTCCTGGGCAAATCTCCTTCAGATGCAAGACCAGGACAGCCCAACTATTCATGGTCTAGCATAATAATCTAGTAAATTTTAGGTTCCTTTGGCTGGCCAAAATCATAAAAGTTTGTGAGTTGCAAATGTCAGAGTTTGTGAATTGGAAATGTCGAACAAGTCTCTTGCAGGAATCCTTCCCCCCTCCCAGGGTTAACCTAATCAGCCCTTTGTGACCTATGTGACCGAATAAGCCCCACCAAGGCAGCAATCATGTGACTAACCCACCCATCTGCCTGCTGGCCATCACCAGACCACCACCCAATCACTTTAATGATCTTAATGGTTAAAAAGACTCAACCACAAGCAACCAGCGGCCATTACCTTGCTAGAGTCTGGTGTGGCCATGTACTCTCTGAGCCATGGCTGTCGCCATGCTTCCTGGCTTTGGTCCCCCTCTCCCCCTTTGGGGAGGTGAATCTTCTTTCTTCCTTCTCTCTCTTTAATTTACTTTTTAAAATTTTTTTTTCGTTTTTTGAGTTGGTGTCTCACTCTGTCACCCAGACTGGAGTGCAGTGGCATGCTCCCGG